AAGATGGAGTTTGGTGCAAGGATAGGGATCAAGAAAGAGCTTATGGATTTTGATTATAGGCTTCATTTCCAGCTTGTTAGCGGTAAAAATCTATGAACTTGATCATTGATGTCTTAGATCTAGAATGGATGAGTTTTTGGTTCATTTTGGTCCCAATAATGAGGTCTAGTGGTTTGGTATTGCTCCAGAAGTTATGAGTTGCCACTCTTGGTGTTTCTGAGGTTCTAGATGCATAAAGTAGCCTCCTTTAGAGTTTGGAAACCCCCATATTTGAGTTGGTGTCCATTTGGTGAAAGTTTAATGCTTTGAGTTGATGTTGGGTTCTTTTGAGGCTTGCAAAGTCATCAAGTCAATGACTTTATAGGTCTAGATTTTGATTAGGACTCAGATCTATGGTTTGAACCTTTGGGCTAAGCATTAAGTGCTTGATGGCAAAAGTTGGCTTAATAGAGTAGTACGATGTGCGTACAAGTCTGTATGTGAAACATACAAGCCATCAAGCGTGTACACGCAACGTACAGCTGGGTACGCCCCGCGTACTCAGTCAGGAGGGTTTGGCCTTTTGGGCTGCGTGTTGGGCTTCCTTTTTGGGGTTGGGTGTTTGAGTTCTTAATAGGCTATCTGAGTATGAGTGTCTTGGACTAGGAATTTTGGTTGGGCTTTAGGGTAAGGCCCATGTAAGGGGTTTGGGCCGAATTTGGAAAATTGGGCCATAATTGGGGTTTGGTTGGTTATTTGTCTTTTCCCTAAATTAGCTAGTGCTTGTGTCTATTCTGGTGTATTACCTAAATTTTATCAGACACACTCCTCACGATCATTACTTAGCATTCTAAGTTTAAGTGTAGAAATAAATCCATATTCCTAGTTCGCTTAAACTAATGCTCTGATACCAACTGTGACATCCCCATTTTCACGGCCAGAAAAGACCGATTTTTGTTTACGCTTTATAAAAATCAGAGTACTTCTTTTAATAAAAATGTTGCGGAATTTGTTCCTAGAAAAACATGATAAATACGTTATCAAAGCATTTCCGAAGAAATGTATTTTTATTCATTTAAAACATTTGGGATGTCATCGTCAATACAGAAACATAAGCATAAACAGAACTTACATTCATTTACACTAGTGATCTACATCTCTTTTAAATCTCTCAGTGCAAAGTAGCTTCGTATCGACACCTGTGATACAAATAAGCTGGAGTGGGTCAGGTTGGAAAACCTGATGAGTACATAAGGTTTTCAACCCACAATAATATAATTATTATATTTAAACATCAAACAATCAACCCGATTACCCATCCCCGTTATCTTCTTTAATATTCCTTAAAGAATTATCTTAAGGGTCATCTCCTATATCATATTTACCTCTCATCTTTCTACCTCACATTTCCTTATATGCTCGTTCCTAAGGCATGAATAGGTAGTTACAACGTCGCCTGAACTCGTAATTCATAGTAAGGGTTAGAGTATCATCGCATGAATATACAGTCACTACATCACCGGGACTCGTAATTCATCACCTACAGGTTATAAGTCTGCTGGTGTTTCCACGGGTTGTCTAGAATATTTCGTGGTCGCCATCTATACTCTAGTAGATGACTACATCTCCAAATTGTCGGACAAGGTTATAGTATCTTTCATCCTACATCACCGATTCATCATCACCTATCCATCACCTAATTATCATCACCTTCCAATCATCACCTATCTCTCATCATTTTATTTCATCACACACCAAGTATTTCATCTACCCATGTTTTATCCCAACGTATTTGTAGATATAAAATAAATATATATTTAAATCATTTAAAACATGTATAAAATCATTCATCCATCATAGACAGCAAGTATTCAGATAATATGCACACATAGCACGTAATTTATATAAAATACTTCATATCTATGTGTAAGATGAAAGGGACCATGCACTCACCTGTTAAAGTGATGATTCCAAACTCAGACAGCGTTTCGTTACTCTTAAAACAATTTCCTTCGACAAAACCTAGTATCAATACCACTAGGGTTTAGTCTAACGTTAACCGCGACTAATTAATACTCTAGCTATTATTATTATTATTATTATTATTATTATTATTATTATTATTATTATTATTATTATTATTATTATTATTATATAAGCGTTAAACAACACTCTTATATAACTCATAATAATATCCCAAATAATTGTTTTAAGGTCCTAATAATGTTACTATAATTAATTAGAAGTTATATTAAAAATAGCATAGGCGTAGCTCACTTACAGCGAGTTTTTATTAAAAACCGGGCTTCGCTGGAGCAGCGTTTCCGAGCCGAAAGCTTTTCTTCTCGGAGCCGTCGGGCGCTCCGGGGATTTCTTCTCGTGCTAGGGAGGTTCCCTAGACTTGGGAGGGGTTTAGGGAGGTTAGAGAGAAGTTAGAGAGAGAAAGAAAGGTTTGAAGATGTGAGGAAATTATGAAGAGTTCATCTCTTATTTATATGAATTGTATAGTAAAGTAGTCTCCAAGCTTCGTCCGTAACTTTCGCATACGAACTCCGTTTTTGTCTGTCTTTTTACCGTTGAGTTCCTATTAATGAGATCTTCAACTCTCATTTAGACCTCGTTGGCTAATTCTCATTCTATCTCGGATTTACAAAACTGTATCGAATTCGCCGCGCTCGAAAAGTAGAGACTAAGCTTCGTCCATAACTTTCGCATACGAGCTCCGTTTTTGTCTGTCTTTTTACCGTTGAGTTCCTATTAATGAGATCTTCAACTCTCATTTTGACCTCGTTGGCTAATTCTCATTCTATCTCGGATTTACAAAACTGTATCGAATTCGCCGCGCTTGAAAAGTAGAGAGTAAGCTTTGTCCATAACTTTCGCATACGAGCTCCGTTTTTGTCTGTCTTTTTACCATTTAGTTCCTATTAATGAGATCTTCAACTCTCATTTAGACCTCGTAAGCCAAAAACCGCTCGAACTAAAATTCGAGTTTCGGGTTGTACACTGCTAAGCCGAAACTTCGAAAAATCATAACTTCCTCATACGAAGTCAGATTTGGGCGTTCTTTTTATGGACGCTCTCGGTTTAACGTTTTCTACGACTTTTGTTTAGATCACTAAGGCTAAAAGTTGCTCCATCATAAATTCACTATTTACGCTTCCCGGTGCCGTGCCGGTTTTGCCGTAAAACTTCGACGGGCCATAACTTTTTCGTTATAACTCGGATTTCGGAGTTCTTTATATGTACGGAAACCTTGAGAAATATTCTACAACTTGGTTAAGATTATTTATTATAAATAATCTTTTGCCGAAAATTCGTTTTCGACACTCATTGCCTCTAAATTGACTAGCCCGGATCTACGGGCGTTACATTATAGTTGTGGTGGTGGTGGTGACCTACGATGAAAGGTGGCCTCGAGGAAGCAACACCAGAGTGGTCGTTAGCGAATCTAGGTCTCTGATGGTGTATAGGTTCCCGACGTCGGTCTCTGGTGGAAACATATTTTGGGTTCTTCGAATGGACATTAGAGAGAGAGAGAGAAAGAAAGAGAGAGTGAGAGAGAGAGAGTGTGTGTGTGTATGTGTGTGTGTGTTTGTTTGTTTGTGTGTGTGTGTGTGTTTAGGAGGACTGAGTGTCATTTGATTGTGTTGTGTTGTAGGTAAAGTAGGTGCTTCAGAGCATTATTATTTTTTAATTTTATAAATAATAAACAAATAAAAAAAAGAAAACTAGTTACAGAATAATAGTCTTTTTAGATCAAACAATGTCCAAATACGTAATACAAATATGTAATAGGGATCGTCCGAGATAAAAGAAAAAAAAAAGAATTGAAGACCAAACACATAGATTACCACAAACCACAAGGACGATCGGCATAATTTATTGATTTATTTAATACGTTTCTTTTTTTCTTTTTACAAAAGTGTTAAATCGTAACTCATTTTTTTCAATGATGAATAAATGTTTGATCTTATGAAATTATATGAATTTGTAACCTAGTATTATAATACGGCTCAATAGGTTAAGAATGGTAAATAAAAAATTAAAATCGGGTATATGGTTATATCCGGTTTTTTTATGTCTACCTTATATCCGACCTAATTAAATATGGTGTTAAACGATTATCCAAATCTTCAAACTCGATACCCGATATACGTGACCCCAATCTACACAAATTGAAAACAGGCCGGTCGGGTTAATTAATCGGGTATCGATTATTTTTGACAGGCTAAACGCAAGACGTACATATTCGTCTAATATATAATTAAATATGTAGATCATGGATATGATATTACTCAAATTGCTTAATTTTGCACTAATGTTTGTATAAACACAATTCAAAAATTAAAATATCTTTTATTATGTTGTATATAAGAAATTTGATGTAAGTATATTTGTTTAATTATATAGAATATGAGTACATAACTAAAGTTAATAAAATATAATTTATATCATATTATTTCTATTACATTTTCCTTCAAAGAATTATTACCGGTTTAATGATACATCTTATTAGAAAGTTAATTAATTGTATAGAGGTGATTCAACTACATAATAATAAGATGATAAATTGTTAGATATGGAAACTTGAACGGCTACATTTGTAAATTTGAAAATCAAGTTTTGTGTTAAGGGGCCTTAATTTCTCAATCAACCCTGTTCTTAACTTCTTACAAACCAATTTCAAACAACCCTCTATTTACAAGGCTTTTTTAAAACAGCCTTAGTTTTGCAAAAAACTCCATAAAATCTTCTGCTATCGGTACTATTGTGACAAACAAAAATTCAAAATGTTTATCCAATTTGACATCTATGTATATCTCATTCATGTTTTTAAGTACATATTCTTAAACCAGTTGTTTATGACAAAGTATCTACTTCATCGATTATTGGTAAACTTTACGTACTAGAAGACTTTCGTTTATAAGAAACATCTAATCGAGAGATATTTACAGTGAATTGGTGTTAAAAAAATTAAATGAAATAATAACTTTTAACAAAAAAGGGTTTGATTATATTTAAAATGGAAGCATTTTGCGAATTCCGTTGAAATTTGAGAAGAATCCTACCAAATCTTGCCTGTAGGGTAGATATGATTTCCTCGTAACCATTTCATTTTCAGCTCTTCTTCTCACATAAAACAGTTCACGTACAGGAGTTTGCACCTTCGGTCGCCCTGCGACTTTTGAAACCTCACCGGAATTCCGTTTCTGTTTCGGACTATCGACCTTCTTAGGAGTCAACAACACCATAGGTTCTTTACCCTCGCTGTTGCTCCGCCGGAGCAAACACCGGATACTCCATCTCTTGGATCCTGATCCGGTAGAACTACTCTTCTTACATTTATTCAAACGAGGTGGCGATCCACAGTCGGCCTTAGGCCTCCACAGTACGCAGTATGTTTTAGAATGTTGACTTTCGGATTCGTCGTCTTCCCATGAAGATTCTTCTTGTTCTTCTATAAACAGCTTCTGTAACGAACCAGTAATAGAAGAAGAAACATGAAGCTCATTTTCCTTTGCTTTAGCCTCACGATCTTCGTCAACTTTCACCAGTAGATCTCGATTGAAAACAGGAAAAACTCTCTGTCCTCGTGATTCGTTTTCCTCGGTTGAAACATCCTCATCGCTTAAAACAAACGAGAACTCATGATCTTTTGCCTGTTCTTCACGGATGACTTTGGCGACTGCTATGGATGTTAAACTATCAGAAGAGTAACAACTGAAGCTAGGAGAGACTCCTGATCCTTCGGTTTTTTCCTGTTGTTGCATCTCGCTGAAATATCCAGGAATCTTTTGGCTTTTTTTGTGATCGAAAGAGAACAAGCTGATGAACGAGATAGAGGAGAATTTGGTGGAAAGGGGTATATATAGAGAGGGGAATGTGATCACTTTCCTTGTTTTATTAATAGGTGGATACTTCCAGTTATCATTTTTGTTAAGAACCATATTTGATATTACTTCATAAATTTATAATATGTGAATCAAATCATCTATTTATCACCAACTAGAGTTGTAAGATGCCATTTGAATCTGAAAATAAGTAATTTATCATGAAAATTATTATTACTATTTAATTTATTAAATTCTATATCATATCATACTGATAAACATAGAAAATGATAACCCTTGAATAAAAATGGGTGGTTTCTACAATTCTATTCCACTAGCTGGAACTTGCATGTGAAAATAATGTCGCAATAAGGTAGCTGTTTCTCGTTATTGAGTTCTTAATATATTTTATTAAAATTCAAATAATAAAATAAGCCATACGGATATGTATACAGAATATTTATGTTCATTCATTAAATTGATTTAGAGAACGTAATTTAAAATTAAAAAACTAGAATAAAAGATAGTTGACATTCTAGAAAGGTACTCTTAGCAAATCCATGACGTGAGGTTTGAGTTGTGTGGAAAGCAAGAAACGAAATGAAATTTTGGAGACTGGCTTCGCATATCTCATTAAATATTCCAACAAATCATTATTTCTTACAATGATTCGATCACTATAATATGAAACTGTTCAAAGTTTTTTATAGACTGTTTTGATATTTGCCCGGTTAGAAGATTAAAATAAAGTTAATAACTAAAAAATCATTATATTTTCTTATTATTTTTTAATTTTAACCTCCTAATTATTATTTGTGCTAAAAAATCATCTATTTTTTGATAAAACTTCTATCACGATCACTATGACTTGCATTTGTGCTAAAAAAAACACTAATTTTCATTTTGTGCTAAAAAAATACTCATAAATTGATGGTTAAACCGAACTTTAGAAAAATATAATGTTTTTTTTTTCATAATTAAAACCGGCTTTAATAGGTAACAATGGCCGCAATGAAGCTTTTTACAAAAAAATATTAATTTTTCATAACTTATTAAATATTGATGGTGAAATAGAATTTTGAAGAAATATAGAATTTACGGAATTTTGAAGATATATAATTTTTTTTCATAATTAGTCCTTTAAAATATTTCACACAATTTTTAGTGTTGAAAACTTTTGCTCATACAAATGATAAATTATTTATAATTGTTTTATTATTATTAGGGTAAATTACACGAAAGGTGTCTGTGGTTTGGGGTAATCTATGTGGTTATTGCCTAATCTCATTTTTTAACTCGGACGATCTCTATTGTTTGGTTTTATTGCGTCTGTAATCCCTACCACTCTTAAAAAGACTGTTTTGTTAACAATGGCCGCAATGAAATTATTATTGTTTCGTCTAACCACAACAAACACCATATGAATCAAAATTCTCGATCCAGATACCGATATCTAATCAATCTGATTGAATACCTAGCTATTACAACTCAAATGAAGAAAAATAATAAAAACGGAATTCCAATTTGGATATTCAAACATAAAATTCAACTCTGCTAAAAGATAGACAACATAAAGATTTATAGATAGAAGAATAAAATAAGCTTCTTCCATAAACCAAAACACCAAATGACTATATAGTATTCTTAAACAATTACTTAAATCAAACATATAATTTGAAAATTTTCGAAAACCATTAGAAAAACGTTTTAAGGCCCTAAACAATCATTGATAACCAAAAACTAAGTGAGTTCCATCAAAACTGAAGACTGCAAAAATCACTAGCAAACTCGACATATTCAGAGATAATGTCATATCAACCATTCAATCTTAGCCATTAAAAATCACTAGCGTCACCCCGCCCCTCTTGAAAATGGCATGACCACAAGTCTGTATCAACATCAAAATCGACAAATTGTAACGTCCTACTAGCTCAATCATGCTAACATTTTTTATTGAACTTCTTCATGTTGGGACCATTTTGACCAGCTAAGGTGCAGAAATAACAAAAACATGAAGTTTAACTGTTATGAAAATAATGAACAAAATAGATTAGTAGTCTTTTTATAAATAAAAAGATAGCAAACATTACAATGAAAAACTCTTAGGATGGGGAGATTTTTCTCTTTCTCCCATTCTCTCTAACTGGATAAAAACTACATTTTTAAACACACAAAAAAGGCCATTCCCCCTCTACTTATAAAGAAACGGGTACCTTCTAAACAATAAAAATGAAAATAATAAGCTAACAATCACTCAACATTGTAGAGCATTTTTTCTCTAATAATCTCTCCCTAAATGCTTGGAAAAAGTAAGGGATAAAAATACAGTGGGTAGTGGTTAAAATACATAATATCCATAAAACAGATGTGTTGGTAAAAGCTGAAATATCTCTGGCTTCAAGAAATCCGAGCAAATTATAAAGTACCCATTAAATCTTCAAGAGAACATACTTAAAGTATGAAGCATCCGATTGTAGAGTCTGGATAAATTTCGTGAGGCCAACAATTTTTTCAGAGATGGCCAAAAATTAGTACCATATCTCATCACTATATAAATAATCTGGATTCGGGATAAATTTAGTGAGGCCAAAAATTTAAGCAATAATGGCCAAAAATTTGAGCAATGATGACCAAAAATCAGTACCGCATCACATCATTAAATAAAATCACCATCTTCAGAAGTCTCAAAAATCCAAGTTGAAACAGCATGTAAAGTCAAATTTGGATGCTCATAACATTCTCTACCTGTTTTTGATCGACAATGCAATGAAGATCAGAAATAAACAAATAAACAGGCACTACAAGAAAAGGGGGTATCAGAGACTGACATAATCAGTCTCTGATGGTCAATAATCAGTCTTTGATGAGAATCAAGGACTGATTTATCTAGTCCCTAGCTAGTCCCCGAGACCTAGTCTTAGATAGTTGATTTTTTTATGAATATGGGACTGAAAATCAATCCCAAATACATCAAAATATCAAGGACAGGAAATCAGTCTTTGATAATATCTCATTCAGTCTCTAATTTGTTTTCTTCAAATCCCCGATTTGATATCATATCAGTCCCTGATGCTATCTTTTAAGGACTGAATATTAGTCATTTATAATATAACAGTCAGTCTCCAATATGTTTCACTGAAATATCTATTTTACGTTATATTGGTTCATGATAGTATCTTTCAAAGACTAAATATTAGTCGTTGATACTATCATGTTCAGTCCCCAATGTCTTTCCTTCTAGACCCCATGCTATCACTCAGGGACTAAATATCAATCTTTGATACTATCTCATTTAGTCTTTAATATGTATTTTCAATGATTGAATATTAGTTTCAGATAGAATATCATGTAGTACCTAACCTGATTTTTAAGTGACTAAATACCAGTGTCAAATACAACATTGTTTGATCCCTAGCCTGCATTTTCAGTGACTGGATATCGACCTCAAATACAATGTCATTCAGTCTGTTATCAATTACTATGGTTTTGAAAACCATACCAAACTATTCAGTTCAATTATTTGAACCGAAAACCGTTCAACCATCCATATATGCATGATATAAAAATGACTAAAAACAAACCAATAAGAACCGACACAAACCGGTAAGAACCATGTGGTTATTCCTTAAGATGGTTTTCTAACAATATTGTGAATATTTGAAACATAAATGTCTTTAAAGTCTAATAAGCCTAAATATTTTGTTGGTAACACTTACAATATAAAACTATCAAACTAAATAATTGTTTCAAGCCCTCATTAATGAACTTCAACAATTGATTTTCATCTTCAGCAAATCCACTAATCCACTGCCCTTGAAATCACACAATATAATCACTTAAATATATATAAGGCAATTTGCCAGTTTATCTGTAATTGAAAAGAAAAGAAGGAGAATGTGTTACCATCTAAATGAAAACCATCACTTCATTGTTTTCTCTTTCTTCATGGCAATATCAGTTTGTTACTTCTCAATGAGCATGTATGCCAACATCCTACACATAACATGAGGGGTCAAGTGAATGTATTACATTTAAATGATTGTGAAATAGGTGTTCTTTCCTACTTCAACATGTTGGTGAACTTGACTAAGAGAGTTTCTATGAACTGAGCTTATAAGATAAAATATGAACAAGATGCTCTTTATTTGTTGATTTTCCCATAATACCCCTTCCTATCATGTGAGGCCGAAGTTGATGAGTAGCACATATATATTGTGATCTTCTTAAAGATCATAAATTGAAATATTTGAAAGAAATGTATACCTCCATTGAAATATGAGAGCAATATCGATTCACTGTCTAGTTCCTCTAGATCCTTATCATCATCAATAGTTTCTCTTTTGGGGTAAGCTTTTAGTAGTGAGTCATACAAATATATGAATCTTTTACATAAGGTCTCATATTACAAGACCTGCTTCCAAGACATCCTTTAACTGCCACGAAAAATAGTATTATACAATGGAAAATTTTGATCAAATCAATATATTTAAAAAAATAATAATAGAAAAGAACAAGTAATAAAGAAATTGAAAAAGATATTGTAGGAGGAAGCGAATACCTTTCCTTTTTTATCTTGTTTGAAACAAATCTGTTGGCACCCTACATACACATACATCAATTATACTTTTACAAAAGTTCTTTTATATAAACCTATAATGGCACACACTGATCTCCAACCAATGCCCTTCAATAAATTACGAACCATATTTTTCAAGTGTAAGGAATGAGCCAAATCACACACCTAAAAACACAAGCAAAGAAGGTTACTTATATCTGTAACTTTTATGTTTTAAATGAGTTTTAAATTTGAAATAACCTGAGAGTGTTTTGTGACTTTACATTGTGGATCATCATCAACAGTAAAAATATTGCTTTGAGAAATTCTAGGGCATACCGTCACATTCCATCTGACCAGGTAAAATAGTTGGTCTCAGACCAAG